CTTGTACAGTGAAGTGCCTGAGCTGGCATCCACTGTGCCCTATTTCAGCTTAGAGGAAGATGAAAGCTGTGAAGAAGGCATCCATCTAATAGTCTGTGTCCATGGCCTGGACGGTAGGAAAACTTACATCAACATCTTCAACAATAAATTTGTTTTCTTTTTTTTTGCTTTGTATTCAAAACACAGTGATGCGTTTTTGCTGCAGGTAACAGTGCTGATCTGAGGTTGGTGAAGACCTACCTGGAGCTCGGACTGCCTGGCGCTCGCATTGACTTCTTAATGTCTGAGAGAAATCAGGTAAGTGGTTGAGACTGTCTGCTTGTTGAGTTTAAGTGGATAAACTTGGGTTATCTGATAAAGGTCCTTGAGCTGAAACAACTGTAAATGAGTCAAGCATACACTTAAACACAGCCTGGCCTTTGCTGATTTAATGCTCCTTTTATCTACAGAATGACACTTTTGCTGACTTTGAGTCAATGACAGACCGACTGCTGGATGAAATAGTCCAGTACATTCAGATTTACAACCTCACAGTGTCAAAGATAAGGTAATATGTTTGATTCTTTCCAAATATAACATGAAATATAGCAAACTGCCATGTTAGTGATTTAGTAAACAGCAGCATGGTGCAATAAAGCATCAGTAAACTGGCGTCATAAGACATAACCATGTGTGTTAAAGTCCATGTTATTAACCATAATGTTAAAAAATCTGATGAACACTGAGGCTTATTTCTTTGTTATTTTATGACACACAAACTATGTCAGTGACATTAATGTCTTGATTCTTCATTTGCAGCTTTGTGGGTCATTCTCTGGGGAACCTCATAGTTCGTTCAGTGCTTACCAGGCCCAGGTTTAAATGTTACCTGAGCAGGCTACACACCTTCCTTTCCCTCTCTGGACCTCACCTGGGCACACTGTACAACAGCTCTGCTCTGGTCAACACAGGTGAGTGTCCAAACATTTAAGTTAATTTTCAGAGATTCCACCAGTGTTTCTTTGAGTCAGCTAACTGGTAGTTGCTATGATTGTATTCTCTTTCTCTCCATCTACTCTGTCACAGTGATAAATCCTCTTAAATAACCACTCAACTTTGTTCCTAGGCCTTTGGTTCATGCAGAAGTGGAAAAAATCAGGCTCACTCCTGCAGCTGACGTGCCGTGATCACTCTGATCCTCGCCAAACTTTTCTCTATAAGCTCAGCAAGAAATCCGGTTAGCTCTGCAGTTTTTTTACAAACATTTTAGCCTGTACATTTGGAATATGAGATTGTGTATATATAACTTTCCTATTTGTCTTTCAAGGTCTGCAGTTTTTCAAAAATGTGGTGCTGGTGGGGTCTCTGCAGGATCGCTATGTCCCCTATCATTCTGCTCGAATAGAAATGTGCAAAACTGCGTTAAAGGACAAACAAACAGGTGAGTTGAAGCAAGATCCTTGGTGGGCATATTGACATAATGACCAGGATGAGGTGTCTTTGATAAATGCAGGTGTTGCTCTGACTATAAAGTAGAGAATTAGAGAAGCAAACAGAACAATCCCAGTCTTAAGGGCCAAACCACACTCTGCTGTTGGGTTGTCTTCATGTCGTGCAGTTTCCCTTTTTTGCTGTCTCTAGTTCAGTTTTTCAGGTAATTGGTTAGCAATGAAAGTATTTCGTTTCTGCATTTTTAGGATAGTGAGTGTCCGTCTGTCCAAACTTTATTGTTTTTTTTTTTTTCTATGCCCTCCCCTCAGTTTTTCTTTTTTTTCTCCCTTTCCAATATGTCAGTGTAGACTCAATTGTGACTGCCTAAGATTAAGTGTCCATATAGCGGTTTTTACTAACTGCCGGCATCTTTTTTTCTAATTGTTCCCAATGAGGAGCGAGTGTATGTGACGGTAAAAATGCTGCACCCAGCATTTTTTTTCAGAGCTTTCTGTCTTTTTTGTGCCGCCACTCTGAGCACTTCAAGTTGAAAATCCCTCAACTTTTCAGAATAGTGCTGGTGTTGTCACTGTCGCTCCTTTTCAACTAGTAATGTGAGCAGGAAACCAAAAAAAAGGTTATTCTGGCCATGCCTGTCTATGCAAAGCTGTATTAAATGTCAGACAGAAATGATCCCAACGTGGGGTGATGCTAGTCAATCATGCAAATGTTAGATGGTGATGTGTTGTCAAGATATTGCTGGCATAGAGACAAAAAGCGTGGTGAATGCTTTTCTAAATAAGCTTTTCTTGCCAAAGAAAAACTATATGGACACATGCCCTTATTTTGCTGACAAAGTAAATATCAAGCTGTCAAACAGTTCGACACATTTGACTGAACAATATGAAATGGACCAATCCCTATCCTGTTCTTCCTGTTTCACCCTTGTCTATACAGGTCCTGTGTATGCTGAGATGATTGAGAACCTGCTGCTGCCAGTGCTTCAGAACAAAGACTGTAATCTAGTGCGATATGATGTCATTCACGCCCTGCCCAACACAGCCAACTCCCTTATCGGCCGGGCTGCCCACATTGCCGTCCTTGATTCTGAGATCTTCCTGGAGAAGTTCTTCCTCGTTGCAGGCCTCAAGTTCTTTCAGTAGAACTGCGGCAGAATCAAACACTTGGCTGGGCAAGAGGAATGTGGCGCTGATACCTCACTGCAACTAAATGTTATTCTGATCATGGTATCTGAATTATCTCTTGGTTTTTGAATACTTCTAATTACTTTTCAAAGACATATGAACAAAATCGGTTTTCTTTCTTTTCATGTTGTTTATATTGGAATCATGGTGGATATGGAGTTTGCCATTTTTATTTTTCTACTACCATTTTTTTTAAAAACATTGTTTTGCCTCTGTGAGTTTGGAAAATGATTTCCTCCATTTTAATCTATATTTTCAGTGTTATTTAAGTTGTGTTTTTACTTAATTATTTTAATCCAACTTTATAAAATTAATTTTAGATTCTGAACTGGAAATGTAGCTGCTACAAAAAAATGAAACGGCTGTTTTGGTGAGCTGGCCCAAGTCAAGTCTGCACATACTGTCCTCACCGTTGCAAATGTTTTTCCACTAATGTTATGAGACACTGCATTGATTTGCACCACAACTACATTTTACAAGCTTTTGTACTGAAAACGGTCATTTGTACAAGTTACTTTTTTATCAACAATTTTCCATCATTTTTAAAGGCAAAGATTGCATTTGAAAAAGGATTGTTGCCCAGACTTTGCAGCGTTGGCTTTGGTCTTAATACTTTATGCTGTTCCTTGCCATTGCAGCATTCTGCACAACATTTACCCAGCCTGGTGTTGGGAGAGTAAAGCTTTGCCTACAACAGAATGACATTTTATTACAGGGGTTTTAAGCAATGATCATGATTCAGCAAAAGCACACGTTGGTAATATGAACTTGTTTTATTCAAAATATTTGGTTGATCATTTGGTGATTATTTATGTTTATTAAACTGGAAAGTATTGGTTGGAATTAAATGTTTCTTGGACAGTTGTTTATATATCATCATACTCTACCATTAAATATGCATATTATGAATTAGTTTATATGACTGTTATTTTCTTGTGTTTTTGTTTTGCCACTCCTAAGGTTTTGGGAAAAAAAAAAGATCATAAGTGATATCAGACCTACAAATTTGATTGGGTTCTTGTAGTAAATAAAGAAAAAATATATAATTTTAATGAGAAGATTTCTTATCAAAGATGTAATTGTGTTAGGATTTTGTGAAGCCTAGTTTTGCTTACATTTATGTACAGCGTTGGTAGCTGCAATGGGTTCATTATAATTGTACACTTGTAACTGTAATGGAATGATTTCTTAAATTCTTTGATTTCAAAGATTGGATCAGTAGTCCAGTGCTGTTCTTTACTTCTCACATTTCTGATTTTATTTTGCAAGGTCTTCAATTGCAGTTTTATTTTGTTTTTGCAATGAGTCAAATGGCCCTGCAGATGGCAGTGTCATCACAGTAAAAATGTGTCAGACCTTCAGCAGATACAGGAGTGGTTGTTTTGACTACAGTGCTACCAGTAATACTTCCAGTGGTGAAATTATCAGAATATCCCTTTATTCTAAGTACTGTAGATTTCTGAATAATCTTAAGAATGTTTTGTATAGGTTTTATGCATATGGCTGTTGTATATTTTACTAAAGGGAATTTAATTGGAGGCTGAATGTGCTCTGCGAATGTAGTTTCTAGGAACATAGGTGGACCGTTTCGCTGATAGACAAATAGAAAAAGAGAAATGTAGGGTCTAAGGTAATCATGGCAAAGACATTTGGGTAGCTGATTTATTTCCATAAAATTAATACCTACTTTTATACAGATTCAGCTATGATTTTGCACCTATTTACATACGATACCCTATTCTTTTTGAGCAGGGTAATTGTTTTGTCATGGATGCCAACATGCCTTTAGTTTGCCATAGAAAAAACAAAGACGAAAAGATATTTAAAAAAAAATAAAAACCAAAGTTCTCATTGAGCCTATTCAAATAGTCTCTGCTAATGGAAATTCCTGATTATAATGGACGACACCACAACTATGTCATACATTATGGTTCGCGCACTTTATCCCCTAATGTGTATGATACTGGGGGGAAAAAGAGAGAAAAAGTCCCCCATTTAGGGTCCACCTATTTATCAAAATACTACAAATGCTTATTAAAAGATCACATTTTTCCTGGAAAACTCTGGAAGTAATGAAATCACAACCGCTGTCAACGCTTGTGCTTGGCCCTCTAATTAGCACGCCTTACAATACCGTCACAAAATTAGGGATGTGTTGTCCGGTTTAGTTAAAATATTATAATTTTGATATACCTTCATGGATAAAGGAATGTGTTTCTTGGCTAATTTAAATGCTATAGAAACTAAAATAAGATTGAATAACACGTAAAAGTATTAGGAACATTTCAAACATGAGCTCAATTACAACAGACCACCCCTCCTACTGCCCAAAATGGTACGGCTCAATCGTTAGAGCTTCAGGGTGGTTGAAGCAGCGCTTTAAGACGCTTCAACATACTGTGGGGAGGGGTACGAAGTGAAGTACTTTTGTCATATTTTTGCTGAGTTTAAAAAAAGATTATTGTGTTTTGATTATTTCTGGGAAGACCTGCGACTGACTCCGATCTTCTTCGCTTCTTATTCTGTGAGTAATATATTGCTTCATACCTAACTTGCTAAATGAGTTGGTGGAGTCAGGGATGCACTTGTTGCACTGTTAAGTTGTAACGTTACAACTCTGTCCGACCAAACAGGCAGTTTTCCTTAAAGAGAATAAGAGTTTATACTAAACAACTTTTTTTTTCAACTTGTCCTGTTTTGTTTCTGATTTGTTGCTCATTCAGAAATGTGTGTAACAAACTTATGTTGACAGTTACGCTGAAACTTTGACAGAACTAGCGACTGCTAGCTTACAGCGCATGTTGCCTTCAGGGGAACTGTCAAAAAAAAAAGAAATAGAAATGTAAGTTGGTTATCTTTGGCAGGCTGTTTCTTCTGTTTGAGCTTTTGTAACAAACTTTTTGTTCCCTACGTGTTATATAAATGTATCTCAGAGGGCTGACTCAAACGTGAGAAATGCACTGCTCCCCGAAAACTAAAAATCCAGCTCATCCCATTGTTTTAAACCTGAATGAGAGTAAACGGTGTTGCCCTGTTTACTCAGACACCGCCTGTTATCTTATTCCGTTATGGGTTTAGCAAGGCAGTGAGGATCCCTAATACTTCACAGAGCTTGCACCGTGCAGAGGGGATGTTGTTTTTTCCACCAGCCAGCAGTGTGCTCAGAAGTAGGGATTATAACAGTCTTGGAGAGGAATTAAAGCATACAGATGGCTGCTCTCATGTGATGCCAGGTTTCCCCCTGGTCAGCAACATGGGGGATGTTTGAAGACGTCTGTCAACACCGTTTGGACTGATGGTAGACTTGTTTTGACAGTAGGATGCAGTGAGGACTAGTGTAGCCTATGTACATAGACTGGGTTAGGTTTGCATGATTTCATCCCATTCATTAGACACCCAACTAATTGCCTCATTGCAGGCATATTTTGATGCAATATGACAGCTTTGGGGACTATAAATTCATGTTAAAAGCAGCAAAGGTGTAAAAATGACAGGCCAGACATTGCATTGCAAGTGCAGATTTTATTAAATAAATATATTTGTTGCACAAATAAGCTGTATAGAAGAGTTTTCAGACTTAGAGCAGAAGCAAAAACTAGAAAAAAACAACCACATTTCTGTGTAAACCATTTTTCTCCTTGGAAATGTCATTGCGTCACACATGAGTTGCTCACAATGTGCTCACGAAGATATGCAACCTTTTCTTCTAGTCTCCGTAATCAAACCAGCAAACTGTTGTGTAGTATTGTTTGTTTATTATTTATTGCCTCAGTGTGTTATTGTATCTTATATTGGTGTTATTTAAAGTCTGTGAATACACTAGTATTATAATGTTTTTTTTTAAATTCTACAACAGTCTGATTGTGGACATAGACTGAAAGACTGAAAAAGCAGGTTATTTTTTTATTTTTTTAAATTTGTTAGAATTATATCAACTGTCAGCATGAACATGTACTTGGGTGTGTTGAGATTTTGTACCATTTGCTATATTCCAGTGTGAATTTACTCTGGTTGTGTCATAAGTCAGATGTTCAACCTACTGGAATTTCAGGTTTTCTGAACGTCTGTTTGAGCTGACACCCTGATGTGTTCGAACATGTCGATAAATCATATTTGGTAGGGCAAATGTTTTACGTTAGGAGCCAAGAGCATTTACTTTTGTAGTTCCCACAACTTGTTTTGTACACTGGCAATACCTTTTAATTTTCTCATCGTTTATCTAATCAGAAAGGCCTGTCGTAAGTGCTATATTTAAATGTAGAACTCCCAAAGAGTCAAGTGTAAAAAGGAGACAAGCATAACACAAAGAAACAGCAGTTTGTCCAAGGATCTTGAAGGCGACTGGAACAAAATAAGGCTGCTTCAGTTACTGATGGTTTGTTTTCTTTCCCTTGTTTTTTTTTTTTTTTTTTTTTTTAATGGTTACCGTCCAGGGTGGGGGGATTTAAGGGGATCAGAGTCGGCGCACGGCAGTAATTAACCTGATTATTTGATTCTTAGACGTTAATCAGATGAGCCTCGTACCAGTTGGGGCTTTGAGTCAGCATAGTTGGGCAAGTTTCAGGTGGCCTCGGCTGCTAGTAATGTGGCGTCCACCGTGGTCATTTGAATTGGTATGTTAATAACAATCTGCAGTAATACACATGCTTTTTAAAATGTTGTGTTGCTGTGGTTACTTAGAAAAGGTGAGCACAAGGATTATCTGATTGTTTCCAGTTAATGACTATTATTAGGATTATGGTTTGATAAGCTCATTGAATTTGCCTATTTACTTCTTTTTCAAATATGCAGCTTTGTAGTGTTTGCTGAGGATTTCAGTAACGCTGATTTTTAAGGAAGGTGTACTCAGTACTGTGTTAAGCTCCCACTGGAAGATAATTGTGATGGTTAAACATTTTTCCTTGACCTCTTCAGAACAGACAAATCATGTCGAGATAATCTTGGTTGTGGGATAATGAACATGTACTTATGTCTGAGAATGGGATTGTTTTTGCTTCAACTGGTTGACAGTATCAGTGCTGATGATTACACGTTAAACAGCAGAACGTGTAATTAAAACAGTATAATTTGTTGAACTTCTTTTAGTTTGATATCAAATCACACACAAGTTGATTATTTCTTCAGGTGTATTCAGCTGTCTGCATAATTTGCATTGACCTGTTTTTGCGTTATGTTTTTGTTTTTTTCATTTCTTTGCTTATCTTACCCTGATGTCATCCATCTTTGTAGACACAATAAGGATGGACTGTACTGGAACAGATACGAAGTGAGGGATAGAGGGAGCAGGAAAAAACTGAAGCAGTTCAACAAAGACAGCGTACTTGTCACAGACATACACTAGACGTCATGTCCACCACAATCAAGCAGGAGAGGACCATTTGTGTTCTCCTCCCAAACAAAGCACAGCTGGACATCACTGTCGGGGTAGGTATTTAACGTGTCTCTAGATGTGCGCGGAACTATCACCAAAAGGTGTGAACAGATGGTCAACGTTCAGTTAATTGATTATGGACGTCTTTGTTTTTTCACCTGTTCCAGCTAAAGTCCACAGGGCAGGATGTGTTTAATCGTGTGGCGGAGCTTCTTGGAATCAAAGAGCTCCACTTCTTTGGCCTCACAGTGGTGAAAGGTAAGGTAACTCCTCACAGACCCGTCAGCCCTTGAACCAGAGTACAGAATACAGTTTGAAGCGTGAAAAAATATGATCACAGCACAGGAAGTGCAGCATTTCAGCAGTCCATTAAGTATAGTGTAAACAAGACAAAATCATTCTGACCTCTGAATCTGCATAATTGAATTTTGTAATCCACTTGAGCCACTGAGCAAGCCCTGAACTTTCTGTTTCCTAGTGTTCCGGTTGTACAAATACGCTGAAATGCCTCAGTAATCTTGTGTGGCTCACCACTTGAACAAGCAGCCTTTTGTTTTTTGTGGTGTTGGTTCAGCGATCACTTAGGCCTGGATTCCTGCAATATTAACTTCATTAAGCCTGGAATGCCCCCTTGCATTCCTCTGCTTCACTGAGGAGGGATGGATTGATGATGGGAAGAGGAGGGGAGTGGGAGTGGTAGAAAAGGGGGTAGGGGGGGATTCGTCATGACACAAGCTGCCTTACTCAACTCTTACTCAAAGGCCTCAGTGAAAGATGAGAAGTGAAGGAGTTGGAATGAGTCAGAGTGGGAATGAGACGGGCAGAAAGAGGAGATGGATGGTTAAAGGAACAAGTTGTGAAACAGCTTGGCGAGGATGATTTGGCTACACAAAGTTGAACAAAAGAGATAAGTTGAAAAAATTAGAAAATGCTTATGTCATGACTCATAGGACCAGGCACGCAGTGATACCAAATCCTGAAGCTCAACACAGTTTGTAAACAGCTTGTAAGACCTGCCAATACAATGTAAGCCACATTAATATTGACATAAAGCCTTATATTCTGGGATTTGCAGGATAGATACGAGCAAACTATTGAGATAAAAGCTGTATCATGCTAAATGTGTCTACTCATGTCTTCACATGTTTACAGAATTTTAAAATAACACGGCTCTTGCCAGCAGTGTTTGGTGTGTGCTGCCATGCTTTCACTGGCATTAGAAAATGGATACATTAATGTTAGCATTGATGTCACGGCTCCCGAGTCGCCTCATTCATAAATGGAAGAACAAGGGCTTTTTTCTTTGACCCTAATGAATCCCATTGTTGGGCAAATTTTACGCTTGGTTACATTATTGTTTTGTTTGCTTACTAACTGTCTCCTTGTTTCCTGATTGTCTTTCTTCATCCCAGACAATGAGCACATATTTTTAGACATGGAGGAGAAACTGACTAAGTACTTTGCGAAGGAATGGAAGCAAGAACCAAGAAAGGTATGAAAGTCTTTTTTTTTTTTTTAAAGGCAGCAAATTCTGATACGAATGAGAAATGTTTTGCTTTGGGCCACTCCCCAAACTCTTATACAGATTAATTAATTGGGTAGTAGAGTTCATTGGCCTATAACTTTTCATTTAGCACGACAAAAGATGATATTATACACAAGATTATTCTGACATTTCTCTTTCTACAGGGCTTACATAAGAGACCCTTGCCTCTAGTGCTTTTTCTGAAAGTACAGTACTACGTAGAGAATGGTAGACTCTTATGGTATGTATTCTCTATACGCATCTTTCTCTGGATAAGATCTTATTCTCTGTTTTATTTGTTTTTTTAATTGATCGTTGTCCTACTTTCTGACACCTTTTTGTGCCCTTCCCTCCCCCACTTTTTGTGTGTGCGTGATTCCAGTGAACGAAAGGCACGGCATCTTTACTACTCAGACCTGCGAGAGCGAGTGCTTCGCTCTGAATGTCGTCAGCAGGAGGAGGTGTACTTCCAGCTGGCAGGTTACGCCTTGCAGGCTGACCTCGGTGACCACCCGCTGCCTAGGGAGGGTATGGAGGTCACCCCTTATTTTGAACCTAAGGAATACTTTCCCCCCTGGGTAGGTGTCACAATAAGCCAGCAACATTTAGAAAATCCTCAAAAAGCTCTTGTTAAATGTTTAAAATTTTGAGCAATATGTAGTTAAGTTATTTTAATAAGCTCTTTGCTAACTACTGTCCTTTCTTCCTTCTGTAGATCGTAGCGAAACGTGGAGTGAACTATCTGCTCTGCCATGGCCCCAAGGTACATCAGGAGCTGTGGGGCATGTCTACTCGTGATGCAACCCTCCTCTTCATCAGAGAGTCATGTCAACTGGAGGACGTACCCGTCAGGTTTTACAGATTGCAAAAGGTTATGAGTCACTTTCATTTTTATTTGAATTGAGTTTTTGTAGCCCATGCAGTACTACACAGCAGTTTTATTTGCATAACTGAGGTACATTATTAAAAATAATAAATGATCATTTAGACTGTTGGATAGTGAAATGTCTTTTCAGCTCATGTTTAAAACATTTCAGCTACATTTCTTCTTTCTGGCGGTAATACTGGCACAAATAGAACACAAATACAGTTAGTTTGGCTTCATTTGAGCTGCTTTATACAAACAACTACAGGGCAGTTATGTAACCTTCCATCTATTCCAGTTTCTCGATCTCCCCATTTCAAAATCACTCATCTATAGAGTGATATTTTGAAGTCTGGCCCACCAGTTACGCAACACGCTATCACTTTAAATTTGTTGTTAGCAGCCGCTCAGTGTTTCCCAGTGAACTAGGAGCGAGGCTAAACTGTGAAATGGCTATCTTATCTGAGCCGCTCAGATGCCTCGCTGACATCTCATCATTCGTTTGTCCAGGACAAAAAGGAGGAGAGAGGAACAGCATTGCTCGGTTTGACCCTGCGAGGAATGCAAGTTTATCAGGTGAGTGCATGTGTGAGTGTGTTATTGATGAACAGTATGTACGTCAACACATGCGTACACAAGTGAATCTGCATTGGCTCAAAGATTCAGTCTTTGTGTCTGTAGTCCTATAAAACCTCTGACTAGACGTGTGAGGAATGTGTGGGATTGCCACCAACAGCAGTCCATCAGGAGATAGGAGCTGCCTGCCATGCCTGTCAGTTGTTTGATCTGTCCATCAGGGGCCATCTGGGGGGGATTAGCACTCCAGGCCTGGCTGATTTGAAAGCCAGCAGACCGTGAGATGCCTCGAGAAGCCCTTAGCCTCTTTTAAGTCCAGATGGCTCCAGAAAGACAATTGATCATTGATCACTAATTGTAAAATGCATCTAATTAGATTACACATCCAAAGATTGCACTGTATTGTTTTTTTAATTGTGTGTCTGTGGCTTGTATTCGTAGGAGGTGAACAACATACGCCAGCTGCTGTATGACTTCCCCTGGTCAAATGTGGGACGTCTTACCTTCCTGGTATGAATGCTCCTCATTTCCATTCCTACATAAAATTGAGTGGAATCCTTGTAATTATTTAATGAGCATTAGCTATGTACACTGTGTCTAATATGCTGTCCTATTCAGGGTAAGAAATTCGAGATCCAGCCAGATGGCTTGCCATCAGCCAGGAAGCTGGTTTACTACACTGGGTCATCGTTCCGCTCTCGCCACCTCCTCTTGCACCTGAGCAGCAGCCATCAGCTCTACCTCAGCCTCCTGCCTGCCCTGAAACACCTACGCCAGCTGGAGGAGAGCAAAGGTAGGGAGGGGAGAAGTAAATACAAGGACAAACTGAGTAGCCAATAATTACAGCTTGGCTGGGGACCACGTATACCCAGCAGAACACCTCAGTGGTTACGAGAACGTACGTGCATAACTTAAGATAAGTGACTCTGGACTGCACAGAAGATGTTACTGTTCAATAGTCATATTTGTAGCAATTAAAATAATAATAGGGCTAATTTTGAAGCGGACCAAAGTGAGTTTTTTATTGATCATAATGCTATTTTCAAAACAAATGCTGAAATCAGCTCTATGAAATTACAGCTTCTTGCAGTTTCCAGTGTACACATGACAACGACTCTTGATATATATTTTCAGTACTTTGGTATGAACTGTTGTTGAATTGCTTCTTTAGATGGGTTATGCTGTTGATTTATTCTGAAACATGGATTTTCTTCATTTTAGAGAAGAAGTGTTACCGAGAATCATACATCAGTGATGACCTGGATTTGGACCCCCCAGGCAGTGAAAGCAGCCCTGGCCTGTCCCGACACTCCACCAGCAGCTCTGGAATTGAAGCAGATGCCCGCCAACATAGCATCTATGCTGAAATGGCCTCCATGGAGGAGGAAGGTCAGTTGCAAGCAGAGAAGTGTTTCAGCTCAGCAGTCAGCCAAGGCAGCTCCTGTACCTCTGGGTTCGACACATGTAGCAAGGCTCGAATAGAAGATGAAGGGTGGCAAGAGGAAGGTGAGAGGGTTTTTATACTAAAACATTTGCATAGGCATGAACAGATGTTTTGATTCATGAAATTGGTCATGTCAGCAACTATGTGCTATGTTAAACCCTAGATTTACTTATGCAAATTTGTTTTGTAATTATTGGTTTGCTAGCTTGATCTGTCTTCACCATTACGCTTCAGTAAGTTGTCAGTATATTTCTAAGATGCATAGTGGTAATGGAACCACAAGACTACTGAATAAGAAGGTTGACCATAATAAATGTAAATAGAATAAAATAGAATTTAAATTAGTGTAGTATTAATTGAGCATCGCTGGGATATCAGTTCCATCTGTACAGGTGTCATCAGTAGTTCCATACAGTTGCAGTAATTGCACAGTGTTTCCTCAGGTTGCGTACAAAGCAGAACATGTTGCTCAATATAGATAACGTGATGTCATTTTTCAATATTTTTAGCCTTGTCTGCTGTCTATATGTGTTCTTACAGAAGTAAGCATCTCAACTTCTAGTTACACGCTGTATGCACACTTACCCCCTTTTTTGGTACATTTTGCTCTTAAAATCATATGTGGCTGCAGCATGTTTATTTTTTAACAAACTCTTTTTTTTTTTTGCCCCCAGAGATCAAGACTAGTGTTGGAAGTCCAGAGGAGGTTCTTGTCGATGATCCCGATGAGATGTTCCAGTTGGCTGATCTTCTTGAAGGAGTGTCAGTAGATTGTGCAGAAATATCCTCAGACACTCACTCACCAGGTATGACTCATTTAAAGAACCAGTGTGCAGGATTTCATGGCATCGAGGGGTGAGGTTGCACATTGCAACCACCGTAGTACCCCTCCCTCACCCTTCCCGTTTAAGAATGTAGGAGAGCCTAAGGTGGCAACCACTTCAATGTAGGGAAAAAAAAAAGAAGTTGTAGAACCAGTGTTTAGTTTGTGTGTTCCAGGCTACTGTAGGAACATTGCAGCACAACATGGCAGACTCTGGAGAAGAAGAGCCACCTCCTATGTAGATACAAACGGCTCATTCTAGACTAATTAAAAGATAAAAATGTATAGTTACATTTGGTTATACACTAATTAAATCATTATTATGAATACTATATTCTGTTTCTGCTTATAGATCCCCTAAATCCAACACACTGGTCCTTTAACTGTCCTCATCCAAGCTCTTCAAACAAAATTGTTTTCATTTTCTGTTTTCTCTCGTCTTTGTTGAAATTGACCGATGAAATCATGTGGGCTCCACAGAAAACAAAGGGTGTCCCCCAGACAGTGATAAAGATTCCAGGAAATTATATAACAACGATTTGTTGAAACAGGTTGGTCATCAAGGATCTTTCTCTAGCTGCTTCACTTTGCCTTCTGTAAATGTCTTTGTTGTATTTCCTTACCCTTACCTTCTGTCTGTATTCTAGATTCTAAAATCAAGAGCACAACTTTGTGTGGATCGACACAGTCACAGTCTAGATGATGTCCGTCTGTTCCCACCTCCTGCACCCCTGGGAATGACACTCCCACCTGATTCCTCTCACAGCTACACCTTTGGGCTTCCAGATGTCTCAACAAACACTAAGACCTCTGTTGAGCACAGTTATTACCCCCTTTTGCACTGTCAAGCCAAGCCTTCCTTCTATGGCCGCAGGTCTACAAACTGCGTCTCCCTGGACATGCTGGGTGATGAACAGTTCCTGGAATTCATACTTTAAATACATTAAGTGCTGATGAACACTCCTGTTTTCTTCCTTCAGTGACAGTGCAACATAACTCGCAGATTGCCAACAAATAAATTCCTTAGTGTTTTCTGTGATGAGGAATGTGTGTATTTGAAATTGCAGGGAGACATCACTGAAAATCACAAGATCCTGCATTTTTCTTCCAAAAGTTGGGGATTAGATAAGAGATCTAACTCAGCAACATTTCAATTAGTAAACAGAGCGTATTTATTAATGTTGTATACATATTGTGTACATATTACTTGCACTATTTTATTACATTTCAGCCTTTCTAAGCAAAAACATATCTAATCAAGTTTTATTGTCTTTTGTAAAGTTCACGCTTTTTAAACATTCTTTCAAATGTCTTCATAGGTTAATGTCAAGGGCATAAAAGTTGCACCACGCAGCCATGTGCTGCATTAGGTGCTCATACAATGTGGCTTGCCTTCCTTGTTATTAACCTGTTTATGTAAACTTGTAAATTTCCTTGTTTTATTCAGGAGAGTCTCCAGAAGCCATGGTGCTAATGTTTGTGCTCCTGTATTTCTTTTATCATTTTTTTAAAGTCATATTTTACTGTACACTTTTCTTTTGGATAGTGTGCTCTGTCATGCTTTACCCATTTGTCTTCCACAGCAATGTAGCTACTGATGTGGAAAATTGAACCTCTTTACAACTGGCAGTGGTACAAGATGCGTTACGACCCACTGTCGTAATTATAACAGAAAAGTATTATTTGTGAAGCACTATTTCTGTAATCAGTAAGTGAATAATGAATCTGCAGTATTTTTGTATTATGTAACCCCCAAACAAAAAGCCTTTCTGTTTTTTCCCCCTTAGACAGTATTGTCACTGTTCTGTACATGATAATTCATATGCAAAAACATTGTGTCTTTAGCCAATATGAGCTAAGCAGGAAAGAATGTCAGTCATTACCCAATGCCAATAATGTATAAAACAACACTGTTAATAACAATACTTCATTTTTATCTACAGCACTGTTTTTTTTTTTTTTTTTATGATGATGAAAATAAATTCTTAATGCTACTAAATGAAGCCAGGAGTCTACAGTTTTTTGTCAACTCCTTCACTGGCGTACTTTTAATTTCATGTTTTAAATTCAGGTCACTTTTTTTCCCCCCTTTTCGTAAATCCCAACCTCTCGCGAGAGTTCGAGATTACGTATGCGGAAGTTTACATTCCGTTTTGAAAAACGTGCTGCTCATGGCAGCCGTCAGCAGTGAAGCCGGGTATCTTTAGCTTGCTAGGTCCTGGCGGTATAACAAGATAAGTACAATGTACTCCGTTTTAATTAACGCGGTCTTGTCCAGCTATCCGGACTACGACCTGCTGTTTGAATCTCTGTCCTGGCCGGAGGAGTCGTGGCCGGAGACGGAGCGAGTGGAGGCGCTGACAGCTTTCATTGAAGGGCTCGGACCACTTTTGGCAGACTCGAATTCAGCTCAGTTTACAAATGCCAAAAGACGCTGTGTTCAAGAAAAAATCGAGTCGGTTATTTGGACAAAATGTCTGCCTTTCCTCTCTAAAATATCAGCAGAAGCTGGTGAAGGTGCTCGCTGCAGGGAGAGTACAGCCGCCGCCTGCAAGCTTATGACTGTCTGTGTTCCTCTTTGTAACGAGGAGGTTTGGAGGCGAGCAGTCCTGGCCGTCCTGCCTTCATTCCAGCTGTCGGAAGAGGAGCTGCCTGGTCCGGGACGACTCACTGTGGAGGTTTCCAGCGAAGTCCTGGCTGCTCTCATACCCTTTCTTGCAGCGGATGAAGCGCTCACACTCACCACCTTATCGTCTGCCTTGTTCTCCATCAGGACTCTCCCTGATGCGATGGTCTCCAAAGTCATAGTTAGGATTCTCTTAACTCTGCTGAGCTGCTGCAGCGGTGTGAGGTTAAAAAGCATCCTCAAGCTGATCCTAGATGATCTGTGCAGCTGGTACTCCAGTGACCGCACACCTGTGGTGACAGAGCGGACCCTGCTGTGTTTGACTGCTCTGTCAGACCACCTCCTGAACCCTCACAGCCTTCACTCCTCCTCACCCTCCTCCTCCTGTGAGCCTGACCCTCGTCTGTCCCTCCAGTTCTGGAGGATGGTCCAGGATGGACTGATTCACAGAGACAGCGTGTCACGTAAGAGGGCATTGTACCTGCTGAAAAGGTGTGCAGCCCTGTCAGAGGAGGAGGGCTTAGACTGTCCTCTCTCTCCATCAGAGAAAGGTAAAATGCTCAGATTTCTTGACACTGTACAAGCTTTAACTTTATAGGTGTTGCATTGCTTGTGATTGAAGTCTTGTTGAAACTTTTGCAGATGAGATCTTATTTAAATGGGTCCCCAACAAGAGCAAAGTGCTTCGAGAGTTCTGGGAGGATTATGCTCTGGTGATGGAGACTCTGGAGGAAAACCAGGTAGGAAATCCCACCTCACTGCCTGTTCAGGTCAGCATCACGGAACAGCTTTATTTACTCCTTGTCTTTTTTTTTGCTTTGCAGGTTCATGTCGTCCGGCCAGTATTAAACAGAATAGACACGCTGATCCAAACAACAGTGAATGACAATCAAGGTAACACTAGAATTAACCAAAGTAGAGAATTGCCTTTGTGTTGTTATTGAAAGTTTGGTGAAAATATAGTTTTGCATCCTTTTCTACCTCTTTAAAAACAAATTAGTTTTTCTGGCTTTATTTAAGTATAAAGATATACTTTATTGATCCCACAGTGGGGAAAGTTCACCGCAGTTCACTACATAGGTTGGATGTAGTGATACATCCACCCCATTGGTTCTCTAGGAATCAAAAGGACTGAACTTATCATATAAACTTTTCATCAACTTATTGTGATCACTTGTATGAAGAGTTTGGATTTATTTATATTAAGCAGATGGCAGATATAATTAAGTTGAATAACCTTCACAGGTTTTTGTCAAAGTAATTCAGCACAGTAGTGTTCTGTGTCTCAGTGCGATCTCTTCTTCATACCACTTCTCTGTCTGTGTTGCAGCTTCAGATCAAGGCCTCTTCCACCCATCCTGGCTGCTCTGCGTGTACCAGCGGATGTTCCACAGTGAGAATAAATCCTTAATGAGAGAAGGAGTGTGTCATCTGCTGGAGCTGAAGGTCCTCCACCAGTCAGCCTTTTCTTTGGCCTTTTCTCAGGTACAGGGTGAGACACAGTTTTGTCATTGAGGCGTATTAATACTTAAACTTATTTATTAAATGTTCCTCTTTTTGTTGCGTTACTCTGAAGTTTATCGTCGGCCCTTTTATGGATGTCCTCTCCGAAACGTCACTCTTTCACAGGTGAGGATTTGGAATCAATTAACCAACTAAAATAAGTTCATTGCAGTGCAAGGATTATGTTGTTGAGTGTTGCTTTGTACCAGACTTAAGTAACCCATTATCTGTCTACATGTAGGTCAGTTGGACAGAGTGTAGGAGACTGTCCTGAGCTGGCGGTTAAACTCCAAGTCTTCATGGCCACCTTCTTTAGTAGCCTGCCATCAGAAAGTAGAGGTACAAGAAAAGAGAAGCCACCAAGAATACATGTTGACAAAGCTCTGACTCATTATGAAATTACATTATTATCTTTGGCTATTGTGTTTGCTTTGCAGGTTGTGTGTTGCTTCAGCTGATCCAGCAACTGAGCTCGAAGCACTGGTGTGCAGTACCGCTCCTCTTCCTCTCTCAGGCTCTTTCCAATCTCCCTTCAAGTCCTCTGCTGGAGATCAGCGGGCTCACTGCTCTGAGGTGACTCATCATGTTTACAGACAGACGGACTGAGCTGATTTCACTTGACAGGGGAGCTGATTTAGTCTGTTGTGTTTTCCAGAGAGGTGCTGCGCAGCACTATGATCACTCATCAAGTCCTGCTGAGAGGAGCTGCCCAGTGCTTTCTGTTGAACAGCGCCCTCTGTCTCACAGTAGTGGTAAGACAGAAATAGTGCACATGATGTCATGCTACACAGATAACACTGGGTTACAAAAAAATATTTTTTTGAAGGTGTCTAGGATTTTTTCAACTGATTTTTGAACATTTTTGCAACGCTGAATCCAAAAATGACATCTGCTTTTCTGTATCAGGTCAGGTTTTTATGCCAACTCAATTTTAAAAAATCGATTTTGCCACTAAATCGATTACATTTTTTGACATTAACGATTGATTTATTTTAGTATTTCTTACATGAAATCAGATTTTAGAGGAAAAGTTTCATTTTCTAATCGTTTTCATAAGCTAAATGATCCAAAAGTTGATGAGCCTAAACATTTGTAAAGGTAAATACAAGTAAATTGCATGTGGCAATAAATCAAAAATTTTGACCTCATTGAGCAAAACCAATGTAATATGTGGATTCAGCACATTGCAATTGTCCAAAATCCGCTCAACAAGCTTTGACACCAAAATGGGTGTAAACCAGTTTAATAAATAGGATATATGTTTTCTATACAACATTGGAAATTCTTGTGTCACAGTAGCTGAATTGAAAAGTAAACACGGCACATACAACACCGAGCAAAGTAGATTAGAAAAGTTCAATTTAGATAAGAGAAAAGTGAACAAATAATAAAAAAATGCAAAACAATAACTTAACATAAAAAGTGGGCTGAGTTGAGTAAACAGAGCAGATTGGGAAACTACAATTTGACAGCATCATTGTAGACAACATTTTGATCAGTGCTTATAATGTTTTTATTTTGCAGTATATTACTGTTTTAAATGAATATGTTTCTTTTGGTCAGTTATGGTGATAGATGTTTTGACCACGTATGTGCTGATGTAATAGCACAGCACAACGTAATGCTTTAGCAATTAATTGTTTAGTTGATCAACATAAAATTAATTAACAGCATGAATCAGCAGACAATCATTTAAGTCACTTATCAAGCCCATAAAAAATGTCTTTAAAAAGTTCTCCTTTATTTTGTTATTGTAAACTGATTACCTTTTGATTTGGGGATTTTTTTAAATCGAAAAATATAGCCAATAAAATAACCAAGCAAGGCAGATATCACCACAACAATGAAAACGTATGCCATACAAAAAAAAAAAACAATTTGGCAAAGAGGATCAGTGGTTCCACATTAACCTCCAGCAGAAATGACAAAATGACTTAGTGAGATATTTGTTCAATCAAACCCCAAATTACAACAACAATAAAAGGTACTGAATTCAAATTAATACCTGTGAGTCATCAACAAAAACCCAAAGCAGAAGTCACTTGTAGGACTGCTGTTGTATTGTAAGGTGTTTGCTGTCATTTCGTCCTGCCTGCACTCTTTCCAACAGTAGTTTTAAAGGTGTGGACTTTTTAATGTGTATATTTTTGTTTTTTCAGAGTGCAGTGACCCTAGATGATGTTTTTAGCTTTCTGATGCATTTCCGTGCAGACGAGTCGCTGTGTAGAGGGACGCAGCTTTGGAATCAGGTACGTTATATCAACAAGAAGACAGATGAAGGAAAATGGCATGCTGAGAAGTTGTATGGTTGACTAATCTATATATCTGCAACATCACTGCAGTTGTGCACCTGGCTATTGGACCATGAAGGCAGTTTCAAGCCCAGGATTGCGGCTGGAGATTGCACTGGTACTTCCACAAATAAAGAAACTGTAAGAGCTTATGTTCAAGGCGAGATACTCAACTATCTCCGAGTCCCAGCGAGCACAGGTAAGGCTGAAGGGAGACAGGCATAGATAAATGAAATATTGTATCTGCAGATGTAGCTAAAGTCAGTTTCCCTGCTACCTAGGTCAGACTGAGAGGTTGCCTGACTTCAGAGAGGCCGATAAGCTGGCCAGGGCCATTCTGCTGTGTGTGGACATGGAGAGGAGCCGAGCTGGAGCAGAGATCAGCAGCGATTTGGACTCATTACTGTCTCCCCTGGTGGACACCCTGAGCAGAGTCAGCACCAATATCTACCTGCCTCTGCGGAAGAGCGACAAGAGCCTGCAGCTTGTGCTCCGACTATTCCAGCTCGGAGCGATGCCAAACTGTCAGCGTGTCGGAGCGGAGCAAGGTTTGTAAGGATAACTCTGATTCATTGTTACAGCT